ATTCCCCTGCCTCGCATCTCTTGCTTGCTCCACCACAAACTTCAAGAAGCATCATTCACAAAGACAGAAACCAGAGCCGATCATTGACGGAGACGGATCATGCTATCCATCTGATTCATATTTAATGATTAAAATCCCATGAATCAACGTCATCCTATTCTTCTCATCATGTCAGACGTAGTTAAAGCCCCATTGCCCCTCTCGCGTTCTTCTAACCCTAATCCAACTCCTGGATGACGATTTTGCACGCAGGCGAGTTCCTTCAAGAATGTCATCCGCGTCTCCAATAACACATCCGGTGCTCTAAAACTAATCAAGATTCAGCAAGTCCTAACAGGACATTTCCCCACCATCCTTCACTAGAATTAACAAGAACTTAAAATCGGCATGCCGAAGGGAAGGTCGGATTACAACCGAAGTATGAAAGGGAATAGTGACTCAGAAAGAGAGAGAGAGAGAGAGAGAACCTGTTCTGCCACCGGCTCCAGTTACGAGGACGACGGGGGCGGGACCGTCGGCCATGGCCGCAGAAGTGGCGAGTGTTACGGCTCTCTTCCTCGCGCTTGCGCTCCTGGGGAAGCGAGATGACGAAAGAGGAGTGGGCTTCTGAGAGAACTTGGGAGGGGCGGAGAGGAAGTAGGCGCGCATCAGCATATCGTCGCCACCGAAGCGGTGTCAACACCACCACCACCACCTACCGCCTTATCTTCGGGCGCGCAATTACGGAAAGTAACCACGCGGCAGTTGAATGGATAAAAGGGCGATCCTAAGGCCTGGCCCATTGGGCTTTATAAAATGCCTTTGGGCCGGCCACATCGGATGATATTTATCGTCGTTATTATTATTATTATTATTATTATATCTAAATAATAATAATAATAATAATAATAATGGAGCGAAGAATCTTAGGTGGGTGGGGGCCACACGACCTTTACGCGGTCGAATACGTACGTCGGCACGAATGACTTGTGTGGATCGAATAATGCACTGCACACGTGTGTGGGGTGTGTGCGGACTTTGTGCGTCGTGATGGTAGCAGGAGTTTGGGATCGGGCGAGTGGAGCCAAATTATGAATTGTTCTTGATAACATTATTGCATAATCATAATGTTGGACGTCCACTTCAGCAAGCTGTCATAGATTACATTATTAATGCGTGCTTGTTTTCTTGCGGTGGCCACGGCCTTGTTCATCATCAGCCGGCCTCGTCCACGTTACTCGAGAATTCCACCACACACACTCACTCACACGGGTGATAAATGTAGACCGACATAGTCAACATCTCGGCATCTTATGATCATCACCTCGGTATAACGCGTGAGTGATCCGCTGATGCATGCCATCTGTCAAACCATTATACCATCTTAGACTCGATACGGATCGGTGGCAGTTATACTCGAGATTGTTATCATCGAAAGATAACGGTCCTAAAAATCCGTTATAAGAAAATTTTAATAGGTACGTCTCTGATAGATATAACAAAAACTAAAAAAAATATTTGATTTATCCAATTAATTTACTTGAACATCAAAAAGATATTGTTGAGAGTTAAGAGTGCTTTAAATTTAGCTTGAGATAGATTTAAGAGAATTATAGAATTCAAGGCGAAATGATGAGTATCTTTTTATATATTTTTTAAACTAATTTATTTATTTTAAAAAAATTAAATTATTATCAAACTAATTAATAATATTGAGATTTCTAAATAATAATAATATTTTTATAAAAATTGTATAAATATAATAATATTTAAAATATAAAATATATCTGAATATAAATAATAATATTTGTTGAGGTTGTATCATCTTCTTCAATCAAACTAAATTACTCTCAATTGACTCGACTAAGACTCAATCTTGATTTGAATCAAGTAGACAATTGATTTGATCAGTGTTTGGTCCAACATGTCGATCCATATATATTATCCTCGCTCCCATCCCATAATGTAATAAAAAAAATCCTTTATTCTCATCACATCCCATCCCATTGTTATTTAGTCTCTCATCTCGATCTCATTAAAGGCAAGTCATCATGGATACTCATGCTCACATAAAAAATGATATATATATATATATATATATTACACATTATAAAAAAAAAAACTCTACAAAAGAGAAGAAAAACAAAAACCTGTGATCCTTTTATTTTTTATTATTTTGTAAGCTTCCTTTCAGAGAGTGTGTGGTCAATAATCTCGATTAAGGTTGAATAAATTGGTGGTTTAGTTTCGCCCATCATCACATCGATACACAACTTTTATTCTTGTAAGAAAGATACAATCATGTCTACATTAATATATATATATATATATATATATATATATTTTATTAGTAAAAATAGATAAACTGGTCACTTTTTATAAAAAAATAATATATTAGTCAATTGTAAAACGAATTAACATGTTTTATCTTCTGATCAAACTATTTTTGCTTGCTCGTAGATTTTTAGCTTCTATTTTCTCTTATGTATTCAAAAGTTTATGTAGTAATTTGATATATATTTTTAATACAAGTCTCCTATGAGTTGAAAGAGCAAAATATGCACATATTAAGGACTTAATTGATAAATGCATCAATCAATCGGAATTGATTTCTCAGCATCCTCTCCGATTGCAAATTTGATGGGAATCTATCAACTCTTCCATCTAAATTCTTCGGACCCGACCAGTGATAGGCGGATCGTAACCCTTGCTTGGGACCCACAGCCATTGTGAGATATAAAAACTGTGCCACGTCACGAGTGATACGATGGGTACGTTGGTGTTCAGAGCAAGCATTAACAGTTTGATAATGACGTTTAAATAGTTGTTTAGGTAAAGATAATGTCCCCTCGCAAAGAACTTTACGAGATTGACCCAAAATGTTACCCATCGTCCTCCACCACTCAATCCTCTCTATGGCCGTTTCACATACATCCGCCTTTGGCCCTTTCCCGTGTCCTCTATAAATACTGGACCGCCACACAGCCAACTCCCCGGAGGCTCACTCACACACACACTCTCTCTCTCTCCAGCTCTTCGTCGATCTAGCAGAGGAACAGCAGGAGAGGAAGGAGATGGAGCTGTTCATGGAGGAGAAGTGGAAGCTGTCGAAGAAGGGGAGCAGGAGCTGCAACGCGAGCAGAAGAATCATGGGAGTAGAGGGAGCTGGACCCTTCCTGAAGGGATCGGCGAGCACGAGGCAGATGAGGAGGACGGCCGCACCGGGCTCTTTCTCCAGCCGGTTCGCCAGCCTGGTCAAGGAGCAGAGAGCCAGGTTCTACATCATGCGCCGCTGTGTCACCATGCTCATCTGCTGGCGAGACTACCCATGAGGTTCCCCTGTTCGTGTCCTTCTTTCTGTCAATCCCACCCACAAGCAGCGAGGAAGGATCTGAGAGGAAACTTGTACATTTTGAGAGAGAGAGATCATAGATCAGAGGTTTCTTTTACCCTTGCTGTGTATATTTCTCCCTGTAAAGGGAGTGAGGGGATGAGGCCTCACTTGGAGAAAGGAATGTGTTCTTGTGCTCTGCAATTCCACCTCACCGGTGCTGTTTCCCAGGGTTAATTTTCTCCTTCTTCCTCGTTTGCTATGACTTGATTGATTGATGGAGAGAGAGAGAGAGAGAGGAGGTGGCAGCGACTGACACGCTGAATTATTGGCCTGCGTTTGTATCGTTCTTCTACAAAATTGTGAGTGGATGGCGTCACGTTAACGTGAAAACAGAGAAATTTTATGCCCAGATGAAACTGTGGGGAATCTACCAACGTGGGGAAGGGGCCTCTCAGCCCGGAAAAGAGGAGGCAGGGTTGACCCCTCCGTCCCTCCTCCTTCGGTCAACACCTATCCGCCATTAAACTGTTGATCGAGCGGTAGTGCAGCAATTTTATAAGCTGGACACGAAGAAGAAAGTGAAAAGAATAGAGGAATGTAATTCTTATAATTTCTGTAAATAAAAAATCATCATTTTTCTCGACATTCCAGTGAGACTGCCAGCTGTCCTGTCAGTGACTCCTGTTTCCACCGCTTGAAGGCTTTTTTGTCGTGGCGTATTGCCGTTGCCCGTTGCCGTCGCATGGTTCTCACGTGCGGACAACGGATGCCAATTCGACGGCAGAGTCTCACATGCGGCTGACTAAAGACTCAAAACTCGATAGTTAACAGAAATAAGGAAATAATGGATGGCATCAGAATACATATACTTTTAAAATCATGATGTTGATCATGCATGTTCATGTCCAAATTATTACCATTTCGAGCTCAATTTCTCATTCAGATTGACGCGATCTTGACAATACACCCATCATTCATCATAAACCACCGACAAAGCGCATCGCGTCACCATCCGAAGAGCAGGAGTTGATAACCTCCGGAGTTGGAAGTGCTTCCATCACCAACCTATTCACGCTCGTGCGCTTCCACACACACCGTCGCGTTCGGATCGAAAGGCGAGTGCGGGGGTGGGACAGGATAGGGTGAGGTGCAGTGCAGCGTCGACCGCACGTGGGGGGTGCGGTGGGGCCACCTGCAGCGCCACCAAACGACCCGAATCAATCATTGCGATTTGACCCGCACGACTCGCGGGTTGGACTCGGCCTCAACGGTCGGATGCGGATCCGAGGGATGGATTCGCGTCGCGGGTCGTGTCGCCTTCGGGCCCACGTGGCACCAGCCACCGCAGGCAGATTCACGTGCTGTGGCCCCCGCGAAACGTGGCCGCGATGGGACGCGGGGACGTTCACGTGGGAGTGTGGGGACGAGTACGGATGAGTCATTTAAACGCAGCCGTTTCCCTCTCCCGTCGTTTCCCATACGTATGTGCTACGTACGTATGCATTTATGATGGTACGTATAATAGAATATATCCGTGGACTATCATAAAAATTGATGGGCTGCAAGGTGGCTATTTGGGCTTTGGGCTTCGGGATGCACCAAACCCAACCAAGAGTCGTACTGCACGTCCACCGCCTCGTACGAGAGCAAATGCAGGTACGCGCCAGACCTCGCGGAGACGCAAGGAAGAAGACAAGTCACGTCGAGAAAACGACATCAAAGTTCATATGAGTCTAAGCATGATGAATGTGGCAGTGGAAGAAGGCACGTATACACACAGGCTCTACCCCTCGTAACTTGATGTGTTTCTGCAAAGCTCCGCCATTGTGGGGAATGGAATCGAATGGAGGAAGCTGATGATGATGAAGGTCATGTGCTCGCAACGCCCAGTAGGCGACTCGCCTGGTCGCAGCGCGCCGGCGCGAACCCGACACGGGCGTTCTCCAGGTCGTACGCCACCCACACGTTCTGCTGATGGTGGTGTCCGATCACGTACGCTGACAGCGGCACCAAGTCCGAGTTGCCGAACGTGAAGCACCACACAGCGTCGGAGCCGGGCGCGTCGCCCGCCGCACGGTACAGCAGGCGCTCCCCCGCCACTGCCACTTCCGCTCCGCCGCGGAGCAGGAGTACCACCGTAGGAAGTCCCGGCGGCGGCGCGTCCCTCTCCGCCGGGAGCCGGAAGCAGAGGTCGAACGCCCCCTGGAAGACGAAGTCCGGCTCGTCCAGGGGGACGAGCGCGCCGCTCGTCTGCCGCGAGAACTCCGACTTCAGCGCGTCGTAGGCGGGGCCGAGGAGGAAGGTGAACTGGGTGCCGGAGTCGACCATGGTCTGCCCGGCGCCGGTGTGGTCGGGGACGAGCACCGACTTGGGGATCGGTAGGAGGGTGTCGCCGACGCGGATGCCCTCGAGCTGGACGGTGTAGGCGACCCGGTCGAAGTAGGGCAGGGGAAGGGAGATCTGGATCAGAGGGGTGTAGTTGAGCGAGAGTGGGAAAGGGGGCTCGGCGTCGCCGAGGACGAGCACGCCGGAGGCGTCGTCGTCCGGGATGCAGTAGGAGAATCGGCGGATGCCGCTCTGGTTCACGAAGGAAAGGGATCCCCTGTTCATGCCAAGCAGCCCTGCGGCATCAGTGTCGCCACCGGCGGAGGAGTAGGTGGAAGCCACGCATCCAAAGACGGTGGGCATGGGGGAAGAGCTGCCCAAGAGGAAGGAGTCGGTAGCGAGGACGCCCTCGGCTGTGGAAGCGTCAGTGTAAGATAGGTAAAAGTGGCAGAAACCGGCAGTGGAGGAGGCGTCGCAGACGGGCGGCATGGGGAGGTCGCGGCCGCGGTCGGTGCAAGCCGGTGAGGAGCAGGGAACGGGATAGTAGGAAGACGAGCACTGGGGGTCGAAGGACAACGCGGCGGCGGAGGAGGAGTTGCAGAGGAGCCAGGACAGCTCGCTGCCGGTGTCGAGCACCATGGTCACGTTCTGCGGCGGCGTGCCGACGGCGAGGGGCACGGTGAGGCTGACATTGTGGTGGAAGAGGAGCTTGTTGGGTGGCGTGGGGAGCGACAAAGATGGCACCTTTTGAACTGTAAGTGGTAGCACAAGGGACAAAGATGGCACCTTCGAAGCAGTGGGATTTGTCGTCGTTGCTACTCTGTGGGAATCGGAGGTGAAGGGTTGCAGAAGACAAAGGAACAGAAACAGAAGAAAGGATTGAGAACTAGAAGCAGAGGAGGTCATGCTGCTTACGTCTTCTGGTTATTATCTGTGGATTCGGATGAAGACGGAAGACTAGAAGACAGGATATAGTCTAGTGGAACTCAAAGCAGTGAGAGATGCGAGGTGCTCAGTGGTCGTGCAGTACAGTCGAAGGAAGAACATATCGTTTATAGGCTTGATAGTGTTGGATTGATCGAAGAACAGAAAGCATATCGAGGATTCAGAGTACTGGGAGCATCATGATTGGTGCAGAACCTCCAAAAGCTTGAAAGTTCATCGTCATCATTGATCTCTCATGAAGAAGCAAGCCATTTGAGACACCAAGGCACTGTAGCACGTTAAAATCCCGAATCAAACTAAAATAAATGCGACGAACCAAATTAATTTCTCTGTTCTACCGATCCATATGCGCAGCCTAAAAGGATATTGTGGCCCCATTGACTTTCCAGCAGCTGACTAAAACGAAGAAGACGATACCTCCTCTGTGATCAAAAGGAGGAAGATTGAGTGCAAGCATTCATGCGTTGCAGCTGTTGTGGAGGCACTCAATAAATCAAAGAAAACGACCGCAGGAAAACGAGAAATTGACTGATTATGAGTGCGGCAGTGCTTTGCTAGGAGATGAAGATGGTAAACTGTAAGGTATGTAAGAAGCGGACTTCTGGAGATGATGGAGCTCAGATCCATCACCCTCTTAAGTGGACCTGCCTAGAAAGCTACACAAGCATGTGGTTGCAATGCAAGACAGGCGTTCGATCAATTGCCCCAGCCAGTGACAGGACAAGTATGCATGTAGTCATGTCCTTGCAATGAAGTAGGGGGACATGGTTAGCATTTACTGGTCCTCGAAAGCACGCGCTTAGTTGAAGTTTATTGACTGTAGAGTACTGTGCACCAAAAAGGTAGTTGAAGAAACAGAGTCACCACCTCATGCTCATTGAGTTTGGCATCTAAAGGCTTCACTTACGTGAGATGAGTACAGCCCAATGATTCATTATAACTATAAATAAAATCTAGATGATATACATCATAAAGTCAAGATGGCCGAGTTGGTCTAAGGCGCTAGTTTCAGGTACTAGTCCGAAAGGGCATGGGTTCGAATCCCATTCTTGACAATTATTTTTGTTTTCTTATGATAAATTTAGGCCAAATTTCCTCAAAGAAAGTTCTATTTATTCTCATAAGGTGATACGTTGGAACAAAAAATACACGCGCAGTCAGTGACACCGAGTTAAATATACACAGGCAAACAGCAGACTTAATGCTGAGGAGGGCAGAAGGTGATGAGGTAGCGCGACGCCCTGCACTTCTTCAAGCTCGTCGGGTCGTCGAAGGCGTAGCTGTAAGCACGAGGGCATATGGACTTGAAGAGGTGGGAGAAGCGCGTCGGCTTGCAACTCGTCGGCGACCCATATCTCCCGGTGCAGCAGTACTCGTCGGCCTTCAGCGCCAAGCACGCGCTCTTGCACCCCACCACCCGTCGTCCCCGCCGCACCTCAAACTCCGCGGGGCAGCAGGCGGTCACGTCCGCTTCGCACCCCGCGACGCCGCACCCGATCCCCCCGCCCACCGGCGCCATGGTGACCGGGAGGTTGAATCCCTCCACCAGGCTCACGTCGTAGAAGTGAAGCGACGACGCGGCGGTGCCCAAAGTCATCTCCACCACCGACGCCGGTGGCGCCCCCGACTTGCCCATGCAGTGCAGCCGGCGGCCGCAGTCCCCGGTGTCGCAATAGCCGCCGCCGTGCTCGTCGAAGCAGCAGCCCGTCCTGCCCCATAACCTCCCCGACCATCCCTCGGGCACGTCGATGACGGCTTCCTCGAAGCGGGCGAGGTGGAAGCCGCCGTCCTTGGGGGTAAGGTGGCCGGCGTTGCCGAGCGTGCCCGGCCACACGCTGTAGTTGCAGTTGTTGACGAGGATGAGTTGAATCTGACCTGCGACTGAGGAAGAAGAGAAAGCGAGATCACTTAAAAGTCCATTCGGCGGTATCAGTTCGAGATCGAAGCTAACATGATAAAGAGGTAAGCGAGCAGAGGCAGAAAACGAAGAGATGTGCTTTGTGTGTCGCCATTCCTTTCCTTCTTACTGCAGCAGCCACTGCAAGACTACCTATTTATATGTGACGAGAGAACGCTGAGGAATGCTGAACAAGTGTGCTGGTCTTTGATAATCAATAATCTTCAGTGCTGCAGTTAAAAATTAGAGGTGCTTTCTCTTTAGCATGATGGCTTGTTTATATATGTATTTCTCATGAAAAAGTGAAGAAAAATGTGGAGAAAAAAAAGGAAAAGGTAAGACATAAAGATGATGAGATGCTTCCATGGTGCCTTAGGCAATTATTGCAAGGGGGAATCATCTGATGTGAGTTGCTGTTATCTTTTCCTGGAACTGTCCTATTTCTGCTGCAACATCTAATTAATCTTCTGCTGCAGCAAGCAAATCCCAAAATGAATCAGCTATTTCTGCAGTTTATAGAAGTTGGAAGATCATTATAGGATCATAACGAGTAAATCCCTAAAGCAACATATTATTACTTGCAAGCGAAACATACCATCTTTCGAGTTTGGAAATGATGATGCCGGAGAATCGGTTCATCTCCTCTATATGAATTCCTTTCAAAATCTCTCGCCAAACCTTAAAAATACTGCACCGGTGTCAGTGTTGTGATCCACCGCATACTCTGCTCTCACCATCCCAAGCTTGAGACCTGCACCGTACGAAGAGCCGTGTCCAGCTCGGCGGAAGAACTCCGTTGGGTTTCCCTTCACATCCTTCGAACTGCCGAGGTCGTTTCCATGCTCCGCAAACAAATATACATGGGTTTTCTTTATCGGAATCCGCAGCTCAGCAGCAAGCTAACATTGGAAAAAAAAAGAAGCATTATATTCAATGCAAATAGCCAAATGAAGATCGGCAATGTAATTTTGCGGAAATTGTAAGACAAATGCGGCATGAAAGCTTGACATTATAAACAAGGAACAGGGGTAGACCATGCTTACCTCAAGAATGTTCCTACATGCACCCAACTCTCCCATGTTGTAGCCTCTCACAGAGTAGGGCCCTCCAAGAGTGAAAGCATCATAGCTTGCAAGGTCTCCGACACAACTGCCATAGTGTCCGTGTAGAACCAAGACCGGTGGTGCTGATTTATCGATGCCTTCTTCGACTTGTTTCAATGGAATGAAGCGGGTTAATGTGAGCTGGTGACGGTTAAAGAAGGGGAAGTTGCTGCCGATTCCAAGACCTTGGTCCACCTAGCATCAGAATAAGTGTGATTATCAGATGAGCACATGATCATGTGAAGATGTTCTACCACTCCATAACACTTACAGGAAATGCTGATCTCAAATGTTGGCAACAAGCGGTGAAAGAATAAAATCATCTCTATAGATCTTTTTGAGAAAAGAGAATGAAAACTGGACAAGTTGTCTCAATAAGGCATTGGAGTTGTTCGTAGTGATCAAGTTTGTGAACTATGCATCTCCACAGACAAAAGCATATATAGCAAATAACATACATAAGACTCTCATCATTTACTTGTCCCTGTCCAAAATGTCTCAATATACCCTAGACACGGTTTCAACTTATCATGTGACACAACGTTTGGATCAATTATTTGAACATCTGCCTAGATAGTGAGGTTGAGAGATAACATAATGCAGTCATGAAACTATCAAAGGCTTGAGTGGATCACTTCATATCCACAATAATTTTAAAGAACTAAAGACACCACCACTTCATCAACTTCCAATACACAAGCATGCAAAAAAACAAAACGAACATTAAGCTGAAAGGACATGGATACCTGAAAGACATCTCTCTCACCAACAATTGCACCATTTAGAAACTTTGTGTTGTCACGTGTAACATTTGCCTGCGCAAATGCCATCCGGTCAACACCAATACCACTGAGGGTTGTTGGAGGTCCATCCATGCTTAAACCACCACTAGGCAGTGCCCGAGCACCATGGGTACATATACTGCTAGTTTCATCGCGAGGTGTGATTTCCTCCATCACAAGCCCATAAGTGAATTTGCTTTGTCGGGTGTAGTTCTGAAATGCTAATGGTGTGCATTACGGCAATGTACAGATGGATTGCAGAAAAAGATAACTCATCATTTTCAACAACGACACCTACCTCTGTTACATTGGCTTTAAAACCAGCCCTATCAATCCACACAGGTGGAACTTCATCTGCACCTGGGCCACCGGTGAAAACAGGACTCAACTTTCGACTGTTAAAGCAGCTGACACGGAAGGTACGATTGCGAGGGTTGGTCACACCATCCAAATAAGGGTGCACATAGTCAAGCTTAAAGGACAGATCATCCTAAACAAGAATAAGAACATCATATAATGAGTCAAAGTAATAAGATAGACCACCAAAAGACCACAAAAATCATGCTAAGCATATGAAGTTTTGAGGTTGACTCCAAATTCTCCCCTCACTGTGGTATCAATTACTAAAGTGAAACAAATGGAGAAGTTGCTTTTCTCAAATCAGTGCAGTGTCAAGCAAATAAGAATGGCATTTAGTAACACAGACAAAAAAATTCTGTAATGTGTAAGGTTGTTTTGAGTTAGAATAATTCCATCAGAGGAAATTGAAAGTCTGACTCCTGACAGTTATAGAAGCATTCTTGTCAATGATGAATCCTAAAAGGGCAGCCACAAACCCTTGACTCTTCCACATATGCATAAAGTGGCTATTTTCAGTGATATAAACCAATCAATCATATTGCAACAAGGAATCTTATTTTTTTGGGGAAGGGGTTCAATTCCATCAGTTTAAGTCGAAATCAAAACTAAGAATTTGTACAATTGCAACAAGGAAATGGCACATACCTGAGGATTGAGCAGATTGCTTGATGTAACTGAACCAACAATTGATCTGTTCAATCCTTTGATGTTGCGATGTTCAAATGAAATAGTTCCACCAGGTTGGATCGATGCCTAACAACAATAGTGCCATTGATGTTAGGGGCCAATCCATTTAGTCTAACATAAGACAATACATATGCAACTCCGCTACATATATTTCGGATATCTCTGAAACTTGAACAAGTTTCAGCAGCTTGTTGTTATAAACTGCAATACATGTCCCTGTGGACAAAATTACCAGAGTTGGTTGTCCATGACGTCCAGGTACAAGACTCCATTCTATGCTAACTTCAGCTGACTTTTGATCCATTTCTCTGAGTTTAATTTCAACTATAATTCCTCCTTCTTTCTTTTCATCTGGTCGTGGGTTTACTTCTATGTTAGAGAACAAGGAAAGTGAATTTATATTCCTCAAAGCTTGCTTTCCCGCTTCTATGTTAAAGACATGCCCTGATCGAAGCTGCACCAAGTAAAAAATATTGTGATATATAGTCAAGAATTAAAATAAGCATATTTTGGCAATACTACAACAATTTAAAAATGAGAACAGTCAAAATTAAATCTTTAAAGACAATGATAATATGTTAAAGAAGAACCCAGAATTCATCGAATTCCGGTATAGAACAAATTGAAGTACACTATCGAATATACATCTTTGAGAACTTTATGAATCTAGCGACCTTATCTATAAGGGTATAGAAAAAATATAAGTGATGAGAGTGGAAAAATAAAGAAAAGAAAGTGGATCCTGCTGAATCCTGATTGACCATCCATATAAATAGGTTTATAGTTAATCTGGAAGGCAAAAAAACATTGTGTTTCGATTCACCATCCATAATTGTCATGAATCAACGCAACGAAAAAACTGACTAAGCAAGTTTGTCTCCAATGTCATTCATTTGCATGATCGAAGTGACTCATATCTAACAATTACACCAACACTATTTTTTCTCTTCTTCTACCAGTAAGCTTTCATGATCATTTAAGTAATATACCTTATCATAGAACAATTGAATGGAAATAAAAAAAATGAAAGGAAACAGAGAATACAGCGAGTCACAGGTATACCTGTCTCGGCAGTTCCCGACGAATGACTGCCAGCTGAGTGTTTCCTTCACATAAGTTTCCAAGTTTATCAAGGAATTGGATGTTGAGCTGAGTGATATCGCCCTCCACGACCTCACACACCACCTCTCTAGTGTTCAGGTTCCCAAAATTGACGACCTGAGCGCAAGCATATCCCTCGTCGTGGTACCATTTCTGCACCCTGTCCCGAATCCTCTGCAGCAGCCTTGCGCTAACCTTTCCCCGCTCGCGGAGCATCTGCAGCACCTCGCGCTGCACCGTCACGGGCAGCAAACATGGCCTCGACCGATCGATCCTCCTCTTGTATTCCCTCTCCTGGATCCGAAAGTACTCCAACTTCTCCCTCTCCGTCATGTCGGCGTCCATCTCCATCTGCTTCGTCTGCGGCAGCAGGCCGACGTTGATGCAGCGGAATGCGTCGGCGGACTGCCACGTGCTCTCGGTGAACGACACCGTGAGGGCCATGGTGCCGTCGGGCTTGGTCTTGCCCTCGAGATCGACCTTCTCGAACATGCCGGAAGAGGCTAGGTTTTCGACCTCCTTCTGGAGCTGGGCCTTGGTGTAGACGCCACCGTTGCGCAGGGAGACCATCTCGAAGAATGAGTCATTGGTGCCGGCGACGGTGGTCGAGCGACGGCGGTCGAAGAAGAGGATCTCGGAGATCTTGTACCGCTTGAGTCCGCTCAGTTTGTTGAGCTGGACAACGATGTTGGCCGGCAGGCCATGAGGATCCCACCCATGGCCGCCGCCACCTTCCTCCTTCGCAAGGGCCACAAACGGGGAGAACAGGTTGGACCAGAAACCACCACCCCCATCACCGCCGCCGCCGCGGAACCAACCCCCGCCGCCCCCGCCGCCGTCGATAGGGGGAGGAGAGGGAGGGAACGACGAGATCAAGATGAACCCACCAGCAGCCGCGGCGGCAACGGAGACAACGGAGGCGGAGAAGGGTGCGATATATTTCTTGCAGACCCGAATGACGATAGTTGTAGGGCCGATGGTTCTGCCGTAGGGAATATGTTTGCGCGTCCATGGAGCAGCGGCAAGGGATTTCTTGCGGGCCCGAACGATGATAGTTGTAGGGACGATGGTTCCGTCATTAGGCATATATTTGCGCCTCCGCGGAGCAGCGGCAGAGGAGTGGATCTGGGGACCGAGAAGTTGCGTTGGGGCGGCGAAGGCCATGGCGACTCCGCGAGGGGGAGGGGAGAGGATCGACTAGGGGAGCAGGACAACTTCTTCTCTTAAGACATGCAGAGAGAGAGAGAGAGAGAGA